TATTTTCCACCGTCCTCCCGTACCAATAAAAAAAAGTAGTTGGGGTGCGCAAAAAAATTTAAAAAAAAGTAGAGGAGCTACGTCCCCCTGCGCACCCCTCCAATTCGAGCACTGACAGTTACCTATCAAAAAAATAATAACAATAATAATACAACAATAAAATTGATAATAAATGAATATACACATATTCTTTATGGAATTGAACTTCTATAACCAATATATATATACAAATACAAACAATTATTATCTTGTCTCTATTATCACTATATTTACATTACACCAAATCAATTATAGCATACTTAATTTAATTTTAATTCTGACATTTACTTTCATAGCATTTATCTCAATTTACTTTATCACATGAAAATAATTTTCTATAAACTAAAATTTTTATATATAGATATATTTGGCATGAATTAATCTAAAAATCTTATTCAATCTTAACCTTGTATACATTTTTAATTTCATATTATATAAAAGAAAAAAGTAAACATGAATCTGCTATTACCAATCATATTCTCTACTGTATTCATTGAAGTTCATTCAATCATTGCATACGACTGTTCGGCAGACCATTTAAACATAACGTCATTTAGTAGTCTTTCAGTAGAACAATGCGAGAAGCCGCGGCCAACAAAAACGATGAGAATAGAACGAATTAAATTATTACAAAAATCAGAAACACACACCATTTTCTACAGAACCTGCCTTATATCCATAAATTATTTAATTTTTAAATGTTCTACATTTGGTGATCTACAAGCTCTTCCTGATGGTTATTATTCAGAGGTATCAGAATTAGGTACTTTACGATGTGAAGAAATCCACAACAAATTATTCTATCAGTTACCATTAGGAGGAATAATACATAATCTAAAAATTAATCATACAACTCAAGCTTCTTCTACAATTGCTGGATCCATTGACCATAAAGGCAACTGTGAGGGTACTACTTTTATTAATAATAGAGGCACATTTCATAAAGCAATAGTGCAAGCAAAATATGAAATCACTTTAACTGAAGGATATGGCACAGCAAACTACAGAGAAAATTCTATGATATTTTNAGAATGAATCATTAAATAGAAAATTTTATGAGAATTAAAACAATGTTATTTTTAAGATTAATATGCAGTCAGAAAGTTTTATACTTACTATTTATTGTAAATTTATCAGAAAAACTCATTATTTTTTCCATTTTTATCGTAATAGAACACTTAAATAGAAATTATAGTAATCCCCAGTGTGCAATATCAAGTTTATTATGCATTTAATAAACATCAACAATTCCACCATTGACTATTTTTAATAGTCTAATAACACNTATGACGGCCCAGCATCAGTGGTACAATCAAAATCTTTTTCTAATCCAACTGATGAAACAAGGACTTTCCTTGTTGAAACACAAGGAATTGCTTTTGCATTAAAATATTTAAAAAATATTGAAGTCTGCTCTATACCTGTTATACAGACCGAACATCCTCAATTATACATTGTAACACAGACGCAACACTTAGAAAACTTCAAATTAAAAACTATTTCTCCTCAACACACGGACTTAATTTCATATGTCAACACAAAATTCGTTTGGGTTGAATTCCATATTTCTAGATCATTAAATGATTTATACATTGATATTACAACAAAACAATGCAATACCCAGTGTGCAATATCAAGTTTATTATGCGTTTAATAAACATCAACAATTCCACCATAGACGGTCTATTTAAGAGCTGCCAATGGTTTACTATGGAGCATTATAACCGTTTATTAACCATTGATGCACCTACCATATTTATTTACAGAAATAACGCTTATTTTACTAATATAAGTATCTTAAAACTTATACGTATTTTAAACGTTGAATATAGTTATCTTATCAACACATAATATTCATTTAATTTACTCATATATAAGTAGATTAAATGAATATTAAATATATTTTGTACTTTTNCTTAATTTCATATGTCAACACAAAATTCGTTTGGGTTGAATTCCATATTTCTAGATCATTAAATGATTTATACATTGATATTACAACAAAACAATGCAACATAGAAAGAAAAATATTAATGCAAAAATTGTCTCTAGCCTCATACAGTTTAGCAGAATTTGCTTACGCCATGTGTGAAACTCCTGGTTGTATGGCAATATCCAGTGGAGAAATCATATACCTCATGAAATGCAAACCAGTTCTAGANTAACAAATTAATGATGTATAAATATTCCCTAATAATAATAATAATAATTTATATATATCAAACTATAAGGTTTTTTTTTTCATTTTTTCTGTTGCTGGCTTCTCTAAGCCACTGACCTAAGTAAGTCTTATATTCTGTTTCTGTAATATTTTGTAAAACATAAACAACAAAATTAATTAANACATCAAAATCAATCATCCTTTATGGCACCAAAATCACACATATTACAAAAATATGGAACAGAAACTACTTGTAACAATAGATTACCATGCGCCTACTTCTTAGATGGAGAATGGTTTGGACTCAATCCAAATTTAATTGATATCAAAACACCACAGATATTAAAACCAGAAACCAAATTTACATGGAATTATAAATCCCCGGAATACTTAATGTCCGCTGGCATTTATAATCGAGATGTAATGCAAGCATTACAAAAACATTTAATGTTCGCTCAAGAAATTACAGCAATACAAAACAACATTGTTCGTCAAACATTAGGATATGAAGTAACCAACCAAATAAATCTACACAAACTTATTGATCCTTCAGTTATAAGTTCCATGGTAGAAGATAAATTACATAAAATTTGGGGATGGTTCACATATTTTGGTTCATTTATGTCTGGAATTTTAGGCATTATTTTTACAATTAAAATTCTAACTATTATTATTAACTCTTGCATGAATGTACACTTATTATATAATACATTTGGTTGGAGTTTAAGATTATTCTGTGGAATATTTAATAATATAACTCATTATTTTATGCACAAAAATCATCAACAACATTATAACACCAATAATGTTGAGCTAAATAATATAAACACAGCAAACAATGATACAACACAAACACAATTAAAAGTTCACTCTTTCCTTTATCCAGATATAAGTCACTCCACTCTGTAAGATGTCTGATGAAATTCTTGACATTCCTGTCTATAACTCCACAATACACAAAAAAACCAATAATGATGAAATATGATAAAGACATCCAATATGACACTACTAAATTCTACGTTTGGCGTTATGGACAAACGGTCTACCTTTTTCCAAAACCAAATCCACTCATCAATCAAAACAGCAAAAATCGAAAACGCAAGTCTAGAAAACAAAAACCGTAAAAAAAAAAAAAAATTATATATAATAAAATTTTTTTTTGTCTTTATTTATATCACTTATTACAATTTGTGTATCATAAAATTATATTCACATAATTTATCATATCCTAAATATCATATTTACACTATTATACTTATATTTATCACAAACTTATTATAATATTATATTACTAATATTAATATTCAACTTATTTTTATATACAGGGTGGCCCACCACTCACTGACAACTTAAATAACTTTTGATCCAGTTAATATTTTTAGTTGATTTTTTTTTTAAATAATAGTTATACGTTAGGTCTATAGCTATATCTCAATAATTAATTTTTTTACATTTTATTAAAAATATTAATTATTTT